TTATTTTTAAAGTTTGTGGGTCGTGTAAAAAAAAAAATCCCTTATTTTGGGGATGGATTCCGGGAATTCTCCCTTATTTTCAATGTTCAATGTTGACAGCTGGACTGGATACGGTAAAAGTTTAATATATCAACTTGCTCCGCTGAGTACGTCACCGTCTTTGTTGCTCCGATTGGCTTTAGCGCTATCCAATTGCGTGCAGAGAGAATTTGAAAGACAACCGTTTATCCCGCCCCTCGGATTGAGCCCTGTCAATGAAGATGCTTTATTTTCTGTACAGCATGTTATGTACAGTTTTATTCTTTCGTATATGTACAGCACTTTGGTCAACTCATGTTGTATTATAATGTGCTTTATAAATAAATTGAACCTTGAACCTTGAACCTTGAAGAGTTTCCAGACCTAACATCTTGATGTAGGTCTGGCATGCCAGGCTACCATAGAGCGTGTTCCTCCGCTGAAGAGATTCAGGTACAAGATGCTCACTATTATTCCCAAGATCGTATGTCAGATCAAATCTGAGGATTGGTTTGTCACGATAGATCTAAGGGACATAAACTTCCGCATATCCATCCTTCCATCTCACAGGAAGTTCCTGAGGTTCGCTTTCGGGGGCAAAGCATTCCAATATTGGGTTATTCCGTTCGCCTTAGGTGTCTCCCCTTGCACGTTCACCAAATGCATGGATGCAGTTCTAGCTCCGCTGAGGCTTTAGGGTATCAGGGTGCCAAATCATATTGACGACTGGCTTACTCAGGCCCAGTCAAAAGAGCTGGCAAACATCATACTACTCCTTGCCAGGAGGCCCAAAGTTTCCACAGGTCTGGTCAAGGGTGAGGGATAAGGCTCAAGGACCAGACCTGTGGAAACTTTGGGCCTGCTGGCCAGGAGTAGTATGATGGCAATATCTATGGCTTATCAGGTGCACAGTTTGCCTTCACCTTTGGCCATGAAGGCTTATTCAACCAGATGCATGGCGTCCTCTAGATCTCTCGTTTCGTGGGCCCTGATCCAAGAAGTGTGCAATGCAGCAGTAAGGGCAACCCTTCATACTTTTATCAGACTTTTATCTTTTATCAGACTTTTATCAGACTGGTCTAAAGTCAGTGGCGCATTGCATGTTGTTCATAATGCTATTTTAAGCATGCATGCTTGGCCATAATGTAGCGGGTGCACAACACGCAATCACTGTAGACGTAGGCTCTTACATTATCTACAGCTTTCATTTTCATTTTTAATTTTAAGTATGAGCCGAACGTAATTACGACATTGGTACTCCCACCTTCCCAGGGTGACACAGTAATTTTGACTGACTGGTTCTTAAAGGCGGCCCATTTCATTCCCTTATCCAAATAAACTTCCCTTACTTCAGCTAAAGAGACAGCGGTAACAATCATAGATCACGTCTTCTGGTTACATGGCCTCTCAATAGATGTGGTTTCCGACAGGGGACCCCAGTTATTGTCCAAATTTTGGTGAGAGTTATGTAGATTACTGGGGGCAACGGTTAGTCTGTCATCTGCGTTTCATCCCCAGAGCAATGGTCCAACTGAGAGAGCCAACCAGAATTTGGAGAGAATGTTGTGATGTTTGGTTTCCAAGAATCCTTCCTCATGGAGCCAACAACTGTCTATGGTGGAGTACACACACAACACGTTGCTCTCTCTTTGAGTGTAGTGTAGGTTACCAGCCACCTATTTATCCCACTCTGGAATCCAAGGTTGTGGTTCCCTCTGCTCACGCCTTTGTTCAAAGGTGTCACCACATGTGGACTAGAGCCCGTAAGACTCTACTCCAGGTGGGGGCATGCACCGAGGCCAAGGCCGATCGCCACCAGTCAAAGCCTCCCATATACGTTGTTGGTCAAAAAGTGTGGCTTTCAACTTGGAACATTCCTCTTCGCACCATCTCTAATAAGCTTGCACCCAAATTTATTGGCCCCTTTACTGTCACCAAGATCATTAGTCCGGTGGCAGTCCGCCTCAAGTTACCTCCCGTGTACAGGAGGGTTCATTCCATGTTTCATGAATCAAAAATTAAACCCGCATTTCATTCTCAAATTAATCCGCCTTCCCAGATTCCTCCTCCACCGCGACTCGTAGATGTAGAGACCACATGTTTGGTCAATCGTATTCTGGACTCTAGGCAGAGGGGACACGGATTTCAGTACTTGGTGGATTGGGAAGGTTACTGTCCGGAAGAGAGAAATTGGGTACCTGCTAGAGACATCCCGGATCACTCCCTTATCTATGATTATAATCGACTGGAAGTCTGGGAACGCCAGGAGGCGTTCATAGGAGGAGGGGTACTGTCACGGTAGACGTATACACTGGTTTCTTCTAGTCTTGTGTTTATGTTGTTGTATGAGTGCATGTGTGTAAGGGGCGTGTATGTATGTCATTACCTGATCTGCTCCAGCTGTTCATCATTACTTCAACAGCTGCAATTGATCTCACCACTCCATATATGCTCGCCGCTCTTCTATTATTTATCCTTGTCAGATCGTTGTTTGATGTCTCCTCGTTGGTCTTCTGGTTCTGTGTTCCTGCCTTGTGTTCCTGTTCCTCGCTGTCATTGTGTGAATTTTGTTCGTCTTAGCGTCAATGCTTCACTTTATCACTTCACTTGATCTGACAGTTGAAGTCCCTGCGTCACCCATCTACACCTGCTTGTACTGTTGTCTGGACTGTCTTTAATAAATATTTAGTGTACTCGCGTTTGCTTCCTGTGATCTCTGTACTACCATGACACATTTAGTGTTAACCTACTTCTATCTTGTTTTGATTCCATGCATGATGAAACTATGAGGTCAGAATTCTCCTCTTTTGTGTTTCTTTCTTCTCATGTCAAGCTGTCAGCATCAACAAGTGATTCAAGATGATTCAGTGTCATTTATCTTAGAGGACGGGATTTGGTTGCCAAAGAATGTATTTTATTTCTGATGAAATTTGATGGCTGATAACAATAACAAGTGAGAATCTGGAAGAACTAGAAAATCATGATCCTAACCTTACATACAAAATCTTTTCATTGTCAAAATATTGGTGTCAAAGTTTTTAAAAGCTTAGTTTAAAGGTGTACTATAAATTCATAGTGTTCATAAACTTTTTTTGCTACATGATTTAACCACCAGATTCTTCCAGCTTCCCTCTTCAGTGTCCTTATTTTATCTAACACTGAGTGACAGGATTTCTCGCCCTCACACCAGTAAACATGTCATCAGAGAAGAGATGTTGCTGAAAGAGGGAGGGCAAGTTATTTTGATTAAAGCTGAGGGCATGTGATTTAAAAAATAATAATGATGACGTGCAAGGATAAATCATTCATAATATATGCTGCATTATTTCATATAACATGAGAACTCTCAATCTTGATTTGATGGTGACTGACTTTAATATTGAGTTTGTATGAAAATACCAAACATTTTACATGAGTGCTGGAGATTGTAATAGGCCTATAAATCATGGTGGATATGACACTAATAAATAATACAACATGTAAATAATATAATAAAAAAAACATAACCCCCTGCATGCATACATTTTTCTTAACAGTGTTGTTAAAATTCATGGGCCTGGGACAAAACAGGAGGCATGGAACAAATCTGAATCTGAAAGTATAATTTGAACCAACAACAACATGTGTGACCATTGCAGGATAAACACTTTCTGGGGACTTTCTGACACTTTCTGATAGTTGTTTATGATGTTTCTGTAAATATTTATGTCAATATATCTGCTTCAGAATGAAATATAAATCAAAATAAAGAGGGAGGTATGATGGAATCAGATCATAAAGACAATCAAACAATCAAAACATATATGGTAGAAACATTTTATTAGTTATTATTTTATTTATATTAGTATTAATATTGTCCCAGCTAACAGGAAACGTTCATAGAACTTTGACTAACATTCTGGCAAGGATGTCTCAAAGTTATGAACAAACATTCTTCTAGTAATGTTACTAAAATATTTGATCAATTTATGTCTTTAATAATGTTCTCTAAACGTTAGCACAACAACGTTATTTAAACATATAGTTTTCTGAAGTTTCAGTTGGATGTTTATCCAACATTTTTGAGATTACCGAGAAAATTCAATAGTAACTTTAATATTTGCAAAATTATCAATTGGAATGTTCTCTTAATACCAATACATAACTGGAGAATTTGAACATCCAGAGAAGATTCAGAAATAGAGTTTCAAGTTAATTTGAACATTAGCAAAACATTCTTAGAACATATTTCCTAGCTGGGATGTCAAGTTATTTTGTTCTTAATTTTTATTGCTGTGCTCAAAAATAGAACAATAGTACATACTATCCTAAATATTAGCAAGAAGTTGCTGATAGACATCAAGCCTAGTGCTCTTGTCTTGTATGATCACAGAAGCAATGTGTCAGTTCGGCTGTTGGCGATAATGTGATACATCTTCATATCCACACATGGCACATTTCCACTGGCCTGAAACATATCATGTTTGCAATGACAAATTCTGTGACTTAAGCAACGATACTCCAGTTTAGTTACATAGTTTCTAGTTTCAGTAAAAGTAATAATGGTACAGAGCTTGAGGTCAGAACTTGAAAATAGGTCACTTAGGATCTGTTTTTTAAGATAAGGTACAGTAACAAGTATCTGACAAGATAAGATAAGACCGTATTTATGGTGTTTGTTATGGTGTGTAATGTGTAGAGATTTAAAATTAGCACTGTTTTATTTAGGTTACTATCAAATGTTGGCCATTTGTAATATTTATGCATTCGCATTTTTCCTCACAATCTCAGGTCAATAAAGTTGCACAAAGATTTCATTGTATTCTCAAGTGTTTTGAATAGCATTCCATTTCAATCTATTGTGAACAGCCTCAGGGGAATGGAAATACACACCATGATTCCACCATGAGAGATACACCAAATCTCATTGTGTGTGTCAAAGAAAAAAAAATGTTATGCATGTGTTAAGCCCTCCCCGTATTTCTCCCCATTCCTTCATGAGAAGTTCGACCATCACTTAAAACTAAAGGTACATGTTGCAGCAACAAAATGAACAGGGGAATAACACATTTAACAGGTATTTTTGTCTTTAAATATATTTCTTAAAATATTTATCACATGTAAAAGCATCTAGGCCTACTAATGATCTTATTCCATTGTCAGGCCTGAATTTGCTCTTTCAGTTCGGTAAGGAGATTTTTAATCCACTGCGATTCACCAAATTCATTCATTCATTCATTCGATTTAATCCAATTCACCAAAGAATTACTGCTAACATAATGTATCTTTATACTCGTTTTTTCAGTAACCTGTTCAAGACTGGTGTGTTACTTCCCAAACTGGTCTCAGTACAGAGCAGGAACTGCTAGATACCTTCCCGAGAATGTGGACCCGAACTTGTGTACTCATTTGATCTATGCATTTGCTATTATAAACTATGCAAATAACATAGCTGCAAGTGAGGGGAATGATGTGCCCCTTTATTCGACCTTCAATGCACTTAAGAACAAGTATGTTTGTAGCTCATGCTATTGTTTCTAGTCGTGTTCATATTTGATTTGTCAAATGTTCTGCTATGTGACAAAGACAAAAAACTAAAATGTTTGTTTCATTTCTAAAGAAATCCTCAGTTGAAAACCTTGTTGTCTGTCAGAGACCAAGATTCAAGACAGTAAGTGTTCCTTCTGTGTTTCTGAGTAAAAGTTGCCCTCTACTGGTAACATACCATTTTTATGTAAAAGCTTTCTTTTTTTAACAAAAATATTTTTAATTTTCATTCAAAAGGACAGTTTGCAATTAATCTGAATATTTGTAAGCCACATCACCAGTTAAATAAGTAGCCACACATTTTCATCTTCACACCAGATTCTCCAATATGTTGTCCAACTGGACAAACCGTCAGACATTCATCAAGTCTTCTATAGAATTTCTGAGGAAGTATAACTTTGATGGGCTGGATTTGGACTGGGAACACAAGGGCACTCCAGAGACGCGTCCGGAAGATAAGTTGAAATTCACTCTTCTGTGCAAGGTTAAAACTAATAATATGTTTTCAAATGGGGTTGCAAGAGTTTTCCAATGGATCGTAAGAGGTCAGAGAGACACCTTATTCGTGTAAAATGTTAGTGGTGCATCAATTTACTATACTGTACAAACATTTGGGGTCAGTACATTTTTTTTAAACTGAGTTTGAAGGGGGGGGGGGGTATTGGATGAATAGAATGTTTAAAGCTTTTGTATTTATTTAACTACATCCTTGTTAAATAAAAGTATTAGTATTTTCTTTAAAAAACAAGGATGGAAGGATGGAAGTCAAACCGTAATTGGGCAATTTATTGGCAAATGGCTTTTTTAAATCTTACCTAATGTATTGAGGATTATGCTTTAAAACAACCCAAAATACTTGCTAAAGGACTAAATAAAACCCTTTGAATAAAAAACTTTGGTGAAACTTTAGGAACTTCTGGAGGCATTTCTAGCAGAAGGCCAGTCACACAAAGATGCGAGACTGATTCTAACAGCAACTGTTTCAGCGCAGAAAGAAGTCATTGAAAGGAGCTACAATGTTCAAGAGATCTCAAAGTAAGAACAACATGTCATTCATTGTCTATCCTTTGTTGTGATCATTTTAACATGGCAGTTGAAAACAGTTTAAAAATGTGGAACCATTTTTTTCTAGGTATTTGGACTTTATTAATGTCAAGACGTTTGACTTTCATACGTTTAAAGATGGCATTGTGAGACATCACAGTCCTTTGTACAGTGCTGTCCATGACGAGGAAAATATTAACTCAAACACCGTAAGCACAGTGACTGACATTGAGCACATGGGTTTCAAGACAGTGAATAACTTTAATTTGGTATGTGTAGTTTGCATAATTTCATCTTTCATGCAGGATTTTGCCCTACAATACTGGAGATTTCAGGGAGCTCCAGCCAAGAAGTTGTTGATGGGGTTTGCCACATATGGACGTTCCTTCATCCTCACCTCCTCTCAGAATGGAGTTGGAGCTCCGACCAATAACTTTGCTTCTCCTGGACCTTATACACAAGAGATGGGCTTCTGGTCTTACTTTGAAGTAAATGGAAACATCATTTCTGGACAGAAACTAACGGCTTGCAAATACTTGTCAGTGATATCAAGTTAAGGAATATTTTCTTTTTCAAGATATGTCTTTTCCTGAATGGTGGCGTAGTACAGTGGATTGAAGACCAGAAAGTTCCTTTTTCTGTTAAAGGCAGTGACTGGGTGGGATTTGACAATCTGAGGAGCTTTGAGATTAAGGTAAATTTCAATTAAGTCACGTAATACTGTTATGTCTAAACTTAAAGATTATTTTACATGACAAATAACAGCACTGTCTTGTATTGTTAAGATAAAATACTTACAGGAACATAGCTTTGGAGGTGCGTTTGTATGGGCTCTCGACCTGGATGACTTTTCTGGAAATTTCTGTGGACAAGGCAATTATCCTTTAGTTAACAACCTGAAGAAATGGTTAATACTTGGTGAGCTTTTCATAAATAAATAGATTTTTTTAATGGTTATTTATGATCAGATTCTGAAATATATTTATTTGCAACAGGAGCTTCCATGGCTACAAGCACCAGCACTCCCAACAACACTGTTGCAACAGTTGGGAAGGGCTCTTCACCGCCAACATGTGTGAAAACTCTCAGCTCTCTTACAGCACTGGGAAGTCAGTTCTGTACAGATAGATCAGATGGACTTTATCACAGAATGAATTCTCTTAACTCATTTTATAGCTGTACTGGAGGAATGACAAATATCACGTGGTGCACCCCTGCCGTTTTAAATCATTCTGGAGCAACACGACCATCACAGATTATCATTTTCATTACATTAGGAATGACAAGTCTCCTAACTCTCTGGCATTGCCTTAGGGGTAACTTGCTGATTTAATGTAAAAACATGGATGGAAAGACGACTCGGCACAAGTTTTAAAATCTCTATTAGCATGCAGGATACAGTTACAGCCTGCTATACATGTTTTTTTAAGTCAGCATGAAATGGAAGTTGCGATAGTAGTTTATTCCCTATTGTGATGTGTATCGGCGATATTGAATTGTCCATCTGGAATTGTTGGATGGTTTTGCTGTTTGCTATTGCTGTGATCTCATGTGAGTGACAGGTTGCCTGCTTTCACAATATCATCAAAGACAAGAAGAGATGCTGCAAGAGGGGAAGTAGAGGATTATAGATTAAGAGAGCACAGGGCACATTCTTTTTTTTAATATATAGACTGTGTACAGATTTATAATAAATACTGCAATATTTCAAAATAAGAACAGTCAATTTTGATTTCATGGTAACTTTCTGCTTTAAAATGAGACTGATTTACTGATTTTATTATAGGCTACAATTTGTTGTTGGTATCATTAAAATGATGTATTACTAAGTGAGCAACATTGTAACAATAAAAATCCCACAGTATAGTGACTATTCTAGCTAACCTGACTGCAGTAGCAAGTCAAGATTGCCATGAAGCCACAACACACACAACCTAATGGGCTCCAACAGATGAAGACCCTACCGGGTACCACTCATCTCCACTACAAATAGAAAAAAGAAGCTACAATTTGCAAGTCCACACTAAAATTGAACACTTGAAAACTAGAGAAATGTTGCCTGGTCTGATGAATTTCTGTTGAGACGTTCAGATGGTAGAGTCAGAATTTGGTGTTTAAACAGAATGAGAACATGGATTAATTCAGTGGATATTGGAATTAATTTTACTCTTCATTTATTGTCTGCTGTTAAGAAATAAAATTAGACTTAATCATCTGACTGGATCTCCTCGCTGCATCATTTTCATTGCACATTTGTGTTCCACAGAAAATAAATAAAGTCGTCGACGTCCGTCACACTGACGCAAGCACTTTCCTGCCTGTACAGACTGGCGCCATTTTGTTTCCTTGTGAAGTCGTAAAGGAATAACTCTCCAGTCCGGGAGCGTCGACCATTCTACATGCACCAAACCGATCGTACTTAATTCCAGTCGGTATAAACTGGTAATTGTGAACGCTTTATTTGTGATTGAACGTTTTATTTGTTGATTCATTTACTGTAGTTAAGTGTAGTAGCTAGTCGTTCTAAAGTTAATACCATGGCATGTTACCTAAAGTTAGCAACATGCTATTCGAAAGCCAATAGTCTACAATACTCTGTTATTTTCACGTAACGTTAACTTACGTTACACAGCTCTTAACACAGGGCGTAAAATATACAAATTACTTGTTGTTTACACGTTGTTTGTGTCGGTGTTTCTCATCTGACAGCCTAGAAAACGGATTTAACTTAGGCTAAACAAAGGGCACCTAACTTTAGGCCTAACACGACGAATAATACAATTATTGTTTTGACCAGTGGATTTAAATCTGAATTTATTAAACAATTAACGTTACCACATTTTAATCGAACGATTGCAAAAGTGTGTTCATGGAAACTAACACGCAATTTCTTATGTAACGTTACTTTTGTTTCATGTATTTATGATCAGTATTTTAGGTCCTATTTGTTTAATTATTTATCTGTTAAAATGTGGCTTAAATTTGTAACGTTATTCACAAACGCTGATTTTGTAAGACGCACTCTGAATTTACAGGTGCAGACACAAAATCTGCGAAATATCAATTTGTATAATAACGTTACCAATTTTAAAACGTGACAATTGTGATTTAACGTGATAGAAAAAAACAAAGGCAATAGCCAAAATGTGTTAATGTTACTTAAATTATCAAGACAATTTCGTATTTAGAATTGTTTGTATGCATTATCACAGTTTATTGTGTCCAATTTCATGTTCTATGAATTCAAAAACATGTCTCCCATGAAAATATTTTCAATGTAATATATAATGTGTCCCTGTCATTTTTCAAATAACCAAATATTCAGCGCATAGGGAGTGTTTTTGTCTTTTTGAAATGTAGGTTATGCAAGATCTTGTCCTTCATTCCAGAGGACAGCTGGATTTGGATAATCAATTGGCTTCCCTGAAGATTGCTGCTTTTTCTTCTTTCTTTTTTTCTCACCATAGGTTTTTGTTTTTCCCCTATTGGGCATTTTTTACATAAAAAAAAAATTAAAAAAAAGTTCCAGTCTACCCCCTGTAAATTTTCCACCTGGCTTCAGGAGACGTAGAAGATATCCCTCCTTTTTTTCTCCTTTCCAAGATATCCAGTCCCATCTTTGCCCTCGGCTATTCTTTTTGACAACATCTAGCTTGACAATTTTTTTTAATTCCCCCAAACCCCTTCACCACTCAATTATCAACAATATTGGAGAGACGGAAAAAAAAAAAAAACCACAAAACGGACATTTTCCACCATCTGCCAATTTTATCACAGCAGTCTGATGGGAACAGGTCTCTAAGAGGCAAAAGTTGCCCCCTCTTCCCCTGTTCAGTCTTTACTCATCAGTCAAGTATTCCTTCAGGATCAACACAGTGCGGAGCGACCCTTCAAGAAGCGCTTGAGATCACCAGGGAACGTCTCAGCCACTGCAGGTGAACGAAGTTCTTGCAATGCTTTCTCTCATCAGTATTTAAATATTGGCCTCCATTTTGCGTCATTCAGGACAGAATGTGAAAGTGAAAAATGTGAAAGGATCAACAGGAGGATGAATTGGCTTGTAACACTCTAAATAGGGAGATTCACGTGGACCCTGTCGCAGACATCCGGAACGAGATTCCAGCATCAGCGAAGAGATCCTCACCTGGAAGAGTACAAACTTGTGCCAGAATGACCATGCAAGGAGATGACTGCTACTTCTTCTACTATTCCACTTGTACTAAGGTAAAATTAAGTGTAGAGATACACACCTGACACTGTTTTCAACTTAAAAAAAGAACAAACGTTATATGTGTTTTGGCCATTCATTCGAAGGCCAAAAATTTTTTTTGATGCCTGGAAATGCAAGCTTTTAAAATCGGATTTTAAAGTGCAAGTTTTTGAGAAAAATATATCTTTATCATCTCCTTGAAAAATGTGAATTTGTAAAAAAGGTTTTATCATGCGCATGCATGTGTTCAGTCCATTAACACAGTGTTTACAAAATGACTTCGCCAACTACTGGTCTGGCATCCATAATGCAGTGTTTTTGTCATGGATACGTGTGAACGGGATCGATTTGACAACTTTGTCGTAAAGGAAAAACTTTTCTTTCTTTTTTTTTTTTGCATCTTTGTTGAGTAAACACCCTTAATTGGGAAAATTTGTCACATGCTAGCAAATGCTCAGAAATTTTCCTGTTGTTCAAAGTAGATTTTTTTTTTAATATTGATAATGTAGGTCATTATAACAACTTATTACACGGCTCTGTGGAATACTTGATTCTGATTAGTGCACAGCTCCATTCAGCAGTAAGTTATTTCTTGATAACAACCGATGAAAACCGATAACAGGCTCATCCAGGTTACTGAAGTCAGCTGCGCGATAATCATTTAAAGAGCTAATAAAATTTTTAGACTTCGATCAATATTTCGTGTCTAATTATTTACTTGTAGCAAGTTGTAGCTATGTAATAAGGGGGATAATGTACATTATCCCTTACTTAAAGGTACAATATGCAGGATTTTTGCAGTAAAATATCCAAACAACAATAGGCTAATGTTATATATTTTGTTTAGTTGATTACTTACAGTATCCCAAATGCAATCATTTGTAAATCACGATTTTTAACCAAGGAAACGGGACATGTGACCAGGGGTGAGGAGTCACCAGTCAATGGCGTCATATCCGCGTTACCCCCGGTTTCCGCCAGGTTTGACCTCGTACTGCCTTAGTAACCATGGTGACAGACGTTGACTGAGTCGGTTATACCTAGAAGGATGCTCGCGCTGTTGTTTTGTTTAAACATTATGGACCATGGCAAGTAGACTTTGAGACAAAAAGAGGACTAGAACGAAGATCAACATCTTTTGAGATGCCGAGAGCTCCACGTCCGCGACTGACTTTGACTTGACCGAGACGTGAGTGTGATACATGTACTTTATTAGACAGGTGAGCAAATGGACATAAATCCAATCAATGTTATGTAGTTCAACATGACGAAAAGTTAGAATATGATCTGTATGTTATTCTAATGTTGATCTAGCTTACTGTTTCATACAGCCAACACACAACCTAACTAACAACATTCCACCCACAAATGCCGTTTAGTGTGATAGTGAAACTGTTAGAGCAAGTGAAACAGCACTGCGTTGCCTTAAGTTTCATTCGTCTGATAAACTGACCTGTTTGAGAATCAATCCAGCCCTTGCGTGTAGTTCGGTAGAATGAAATGTCCTTATACCTTTATATCCGCGGGACTCGCATTGCGTGTGGTGCTGGTATACGTCTAGAAATCGCGCCCTGCTTCATACTACAGTCATGTTAAAAACATCAATGTATTCACTCATCCATAAAAGATCCATCAACTTTATGACAAGATCCATAATTCCGCTTAATGCAGAATATACGTCATCAATATACGCCTTTGTTATTGTAAGAGCTTAGGTGAAATCTTGCATATTGTACCTTTTAAACAAACATATTTTTATAACAAATTTTAATTTGTGTATTGTATTTTATGTTAATAATGTCTTTGTACAGCTCCTTTTCATGCATACAGTTTTAAAAGTGATCTATGAATAAATGACTGATTGAAAAAAGATTAAGTGAATTTAAAATCAATCTTCAAATAAATGTAAAATGTATACTGTATATCAAATTAACAAATAATTGTAATATATATTATTAAATAAGCTAATTATTAAAATTTATTTGATACAAATTTAATGTTTTGTTCTGCAATTTGCCTTTGTAGGGTGACAGCTGTCCTTTTCGACACTGCGAGGCCGCCATGGGTAGCGAGACTGTCTGCAACCTGTGGCAGGAGCAAAGGTGCTTCCGTAACATCTGCAAGTTTCGACATATGGAAATAAAGGTTTGTGACCTTTTGCATACTCCCTTAAAGCTTGAGATCCTTTCATTTTGGGACCTTAAAAATGATCCACCCTGTTACTTTCTATTTAGAAAAACCGCAAAGTAATCGCATGCTATTGGGAGAACCAGCCAGCTGGCTGCCAGAAACCTCACTGTGCTTTTCATCATGAGAAGCCACGCATCATTGATGGGAATTATTTTGCCCCAGACAAAGGTATTTGGCAGTTTTTGCTGTTTTTTTATAATCATTTATAAAAATTGAAAGTTCAAATAAATAAATTGGGCTTTTTATCATTGTTTTCAGGTCAAGTAAAGGAGAAAGAAGAGACCCCACACGAGGACCAAGTCAACCAAGTCCCTGCGCCCACTGCAAACCCTACTAACCCACAGCTTAGAGGGGTCATTAGAACTGAGACCCAGGAGAATGTCCCCAGCCCTACCCATCCACCTGTGGTCATCAACCCCGTGGATGATGATGATGAGGATGGTAAGCTCACTAAGAATTGCCTTTACAGGGACTTTAAAAGTATCATTCTTTCCAACGTTTCTTATTTGTGTATTCAAAAATATTTAAATCTATCTCATAACATTATTTAATGCAGTTAGTGCAGTTAATATTTTAGTGTAAATGATTTTGAGCCCTACCTAGGGTAACAGCCCTGCAGTGTCAATTTGACAGAATTGTTGTCTGTGAATTTTTTTTTTATATAATTTCTCATGTAACAATTTTGACAGTATATTGTATGATTCTTTGGCTAGCAGTTGTGGAAAATACATAACGAGAAAGACTACACGTTGCATATGTGATGTCGCCACATAACACATTTTCCCTCCACAAATTACGGTTTTCACCGCGCTCAACTAGTTTTTCCTCTCCCTGAAAGAAGGCGGTTAAGTGCACCAAAGACACAGGCATGTTTAGCGGGATCCATTTGCTAGTGGGGGTGATGTATATCAAACGTCGAAAGAGTTGTAGTCCACAAAGTGCTCTCACACAAAGTCTAAAATTTTCAACCTAGAGGTCCAGCGGGGTTGGCAGAAGGGGCAGGACTTACCAGCTCTATAGAAAAAACCATCACAAGTGATGTATACAACTATATAGTTTTAATTTGACTGGGAATAAATGACTTTTAAGGCTAAAAAGAAATCGTATGCTGTTGGAAATGGCCAGACTGCACGTTATTGAAATGAATGGGATTTTGTCGCTGGCGTTGTGAACAGGGGCTTAAGTCTCTGATGTCCCCAGAATGTGTATGTGAAGTTTCAGCTAAAAAAACCCAACAGATCATTTTTTACAGCACGTTTAAATTGTCATTTTGGAGGCTCAGAAAATGTTTGATTGTGTGCCCTTTAAATGCAAATAAGCTGCTGCTGCCAGCACAGGGGGCGGAGCTTCATGAGCTCGCACTCAGTCTTTCAGGACAATTTCATCTCACGGAATGATGATAATATCAGAAACTCTCAGTAACGGTGTTCATTTCGAGTCGGACAATAATGCCTACAGAGTTATAATGCTGTATAGAGATGGAACATAAATAATGTTTATTTACTTAAAGTAGGTGGGGTCCACCGCCACGGCTCCGGGCATAGGGTAAAAACGCAAAAGTCTGCTTGACAGTGAAGGTTGCACGCAGGCGCACGGACTTGTTGTGTAGTATGCACTCCTAGCCACCTGGAGTGCATACTACATTGAATTTCACACACTTTTGCGTCACCATTTGCACGCGGATTTCCCACCCAAAACACTCGTCTAAACTCAGAATAAAAAGTGATAACGCAATGCCACTTTTGCGTTTTCTCTTCAGAATCGTTTCTGTGTAAACATAGCTTAAATTTCAGGCAAGCGAATATCAAATTAACCTATTCAGAACTTATAATTATGTTATTTCCCACTCAGGTTAGTTCCAACCCTTAATTAATCTTTGATTAGCTGGTTCAGGTGTGTTTAATTAGGGTTGGCTATGGTTTTCAGGTGGCCCTTCAAGAATGGAATGTGGCGTCCCTGTTCTTGACGTATTGCTCATTGTTTGCAGATCAATTCTCAGAGGAAGGAGATGAATCTCTCGGAGGCTCACCCCGGAAACTGATAACATATAAAGGTGAAGATGGTTTCCGTTTTTTGTTAATATTTTCTATTATTCATTGAGTGCTTTATTTTATTATCGGTCTGTCGTGCAGATGATTCGCTGAATTTTGGTATCCAGACTCTGGAGGAGATCAGATTGAGGAAAGCACTTATGGCCAACCTGAAGAAAGCTGGTAAATAAACCCTCACCTCTATTGCTTTCTAGTGATCTGTTGTTCAATATCTGATCTTAATCTTCACTTTTTTTGTTTGCAGGGCAGTCCACCATGCAGAGCTCTGCCCAAAACAATGGAACTGCTATTGAAAAGGAAAACATTCAGTCGCTTTCACGTCTGGAAGTAAACAATGCCAAGAATGGTAAGCAGTCTAAGTGTTTGAACTTTTGGTTTTCAGAGCATCAAACCATTTGTTCTTATTAAAGCCATTTTAAAATCTTTTGTAGATTCGTTTAATGAAACTGGAAAAAGAAAAATTTCAGACAGACTTGGGAAAAGAATTTTGAAAAGAGGTACGTTTATGAAAACGGTTTGCTCAAAATTGAAATACATTAATGTACCCTTGGTCCCTTTTTACATACATCTGCCAAAAACTGACAGATATTGTCATTTAATTGAAGATGGTCCTGAAGAGCTGCCTTTGAAACGAAGCCTTGCTGAACGACTCGGTAGAACAGTTGAATCCTCCACAGACGTTCTACCACCGAAAGGTACGAGATTTTGTATCCCTTGCACAATTTACGTAAATCCCACCCTTGGACATAAATCCCTTAATCAACAAATACATATTAGAGAAATGCCCAGCAAAATGGGTAGAATGTCAAAATAGCAAATTATTTGCTATCGTAAGATGTGTCCCCTTTTAAATCGAGACATGGCTAAGTTGTATTTACAAGGAGTCTGATAGGCCATACTATACTGATTCGTGGGCATTCATTGTAGGGTGAAGGACAAAAATGTCAATACTTAAGTACCACCTTGTCTGTAAAATATTTTTTTGGACTGCCCAATGTTATGAAATGGCATTTTTTTTTTATCAGGACACACTTTTAAGGACTTATGGATCCAGAATTTATTTTACAATTTAACACAAGTACATTTAAATAATCTTTTATAGAATTGTACTCATTTTGTACATTGTACATTAAGTTTGTTTCATTGTTATAATTATGATATGATGTTAAATGTTTAATATGTATCTGCCATGTAATAGCCAGTGATCCTGATATAAAAATAAACTCACAATTTACGTTATTAACTTTTTTCAGCTCAGAAACCAGTGCGAGAAAGACTTGGGTTGACCTCCGACCTTCCCAGCTCCGACATCGAGCCAAAACCATCCGGAGACATCCGTATAAAAACCCTTGAGGAGATTCGGCAAGAGAAGGCAGCCAAAAGCCTCAAATCGAGTAAAGTTGTGCGTGTTGTAAAAGAAGTAGCGAAGGAGGAGTCGAACCCTTCCAAGAAAAGTGTCAAACCTGCTGGTGGACCACAAGTTAAGACTTTCTCTGAAATCCTTCACGAAAAGAAAAAAATGCAGGAGAAAAAAGTCCATGAAATGAACATGGCTGCCAAAAGTCCAGAGGGGAATGAAGGACTTTGCTCTGCAGAAGCTGCAGTCAAGGCCCCTGTGCCAGCTGTGGAGGTACGAGTTAAAACGCTGGAGGAAATACGCCGGGAAAAGGCTGCAAGGATGCAAGCACAACTTCAAGAGGGCACAGACGACAAGACCCCAACCTCTAGTGAAGCAGAGTCGAGTGGACCTCCAAAAAGGCGCATTCTGCGTGTTAATAAAGCCACTGGTAAGTCAGACACATTTAAAATGGTGGAAAACCGTCAAGGAAGTGTGTTCTCATTTTTTAATTTCTAATTTTTTTTTTTTTTAGCTGCTGTCAGCACTGTAGGTCAGACAAAACCAGACACATCTGATAAGAAACGGGAACCTGCTACAGAGGTAAGACCGTTCCAAGACAACAAGCCCAAGAGGATATTGTTTCCTGATTATAAATAATTTCCTCTGTTTAACTCGCAGACAAATGGAAAAGGCGAACCTTCCAGTGTGCCTGTTAAAGTGAAGACGTTTGAGGAGATCATGCGTGAAAAGAGACTCCGCAAGCTGCAGGAGGAGCAAGTCACCTCCACCAACCAGAAAGACGCATCACCTGCTGCCTCTCCGTCAGCATCAGAATCCTCCGCCCAGCCTCAAACCACAGTGAGACCGAGGATCGCCCTCAAACCCAAGCCCTCTCCGCTCCCTGCTGCTGTAGTGCCTCAGAAAAGCTCCCCCGAGCTGTCTGGAGATAGTACTCCATCGTCAAACACACCAAAGCCCTCCACCTCTCCGGTCATTCCTGTCCAGCTAGCTGAGGGATCTATGCAAACTGTGGAGAAAAAGGGTAGGAGCTATATTCATTATCTTTATTTGATTGTGTAACTAACTCAATTTCCATTTTTAAATAACTCCTACAAAAATAGGACAAATAATAGAGATCATGTTTTAAATATGAGAAGTCAGTAATGTTTACAACAGTACTAATATAAACTAAAATAAGTGTATGTTTGTTTTCACTCACTTTGCTGCATTTGTCTGCATTTCAGTGAAGCCCAAGGTGAACGTGAAGCCATCAGTAATGAAGCCGGCCCAGAGGAGGAAAGCTGCAAAAGTCAACTCTGCTGTTGCTGAAGTGAAACCTCTTAACGCTGCCTGTCAATCACCTTCCTCCCTGGTTATTCCCAACAAGCGCCTTAAGGTGGGGTTTATTTACTTAATTGAGCAATTCTTTTGTCACTGCTGGTTAAAAATAATAAGTGTAAGCATTTTTTTTTTGTACTCTTTCAGGTGGCTTCACCAACCTCTCAGTTCGACACTCATCAGGTGCCCTGCTCTAACACAGAGGAAATTCAGATGGTTCCTATTAGCTGCCTTGAGCCTGCCAGTACTACATCAGCTGAGACTGTTGCAGTCCCCCAAAGGTATAAGAAATTCTCATTTCAGCTGATGGAAGACTACCATTAAATATAAATCATTACAAAATGGTGAAGTAGAAACGAATTAAGACTTTTTTTTTTTTTTTTTTCTCTAGCCCTGTGATCAGAACACCCAGTGTGCAGCGCAATCGGCGGTCCAGCACCACCTCTGGTCGAGCTGCTGCTGTTACCAGTTCATCGATGGATGACTTTGAAGACCTGTTGGATGAATTTACTGATGATCGGCTTGAGGATGACTTGGAATTGGATTCGGGCAAGGGAGAGGATGACCTTCTTTTAGAACTCTCAGAGATGATTGACAGCTAGAAATGAGCGATGTCACAACCTTTATTTACTTACCACTGCCACTATGAATATAAAAGGACTCTGAGACGTAATTCAACCCACACTATTTTAAAATAAGATTTATTTTATTTTCAAATTCTGAAAGATCTGTTTTATTATTCCTTTTAGATTTTTCTTGTCAATGTAAATATTTCTTCATCATCAAGTAGTGTTTTAGAATTATTTTCTTCAGTTGATTTCTTAAAGCTGTCAAAAATGGGCAAAAAAAAAAACCATTGTTGGAGGTATGAGCAAGCAATCATAAGACAGCCTCAGGTGTAATGATTGTGTTGGAGGTCATGTTATAGCACTAGTCATCATGCATTACAGCGGCAGGAAGTTTTCAGTTGTGTACTGTGTATGCCGGAAATTGTTTTTCTTTTTTTGTGTGTGTGTTGGAGAGGCACTGCAAGGCAACATCTCTCTCAGTGTTCATTTTGAGTCGTATGCATTAGCGACATTATTTTAACAGGTCATCTCGTTAACCTTTGATCTGCTATAGGAAAAACATTTTATGATCTTATTATTTAATGTTTTGACTGAGTTGGAGGTCACAGATATTTCTCCCCCTTTTTCATTTAGGTGGAAGCAATTCTATTATAAATGTTATGCTACATGAAATTCCCTTGGGAACCATCTATACCTTTTCACCTTGTGAAATGATTACCAAATTATTTTAGCAGTTACTCAGACTTCTGAATGTAACATGTTAGCATGACAAAGCCGTGTTCTCAGGGAAAATCCTTAAGCTTTGCTCGTCTTTGTTTACCTGTATTTTTTTTTTTCTTTCTTAAATTTCTTCACCATTTTCTCTTCTTAGTTTTTATTCACCTTCGTTTTCTAACATCATGTATTAAGGGGCTGGGATGAGAAAATAATGTAATCTGTTCTGCAGTATCACCCAAGTTGCACCTCTTCAAAACTATTGTAAATAAATAAAATGCCTATGAACACATTTGTTAGTGTTTAAGTTTTGAACAGCATTTATTTTAGTATTTTTCTAACCACTTTTTGATAATATGCTATTTTTAAGCTTGAGTGTTTTGGGATGCTGCGTTTGTTTTAACTGCCATTACTGTAATTTTATGATTGGATCAGAAAACGAGCAACTAGCATATATCCTCCTAAATATGATTTTTTTTTTTTTTTTCAATAGGTTTTATATTCACAAAATGAAAACACCTTTATAAGATGTTTTACATTACTGATATCAATACTTGCAGGGGAAATATAGAAATGAAAAAGATTAACACCTGATACACTTATAAAACACTTACTGATGTTTTATCATTGGAAGCCTCTATCTTACAATCCACAAATATTGGCACCCTTGGTAAATATGAGCAAAACTGACTGAAAATTTGCATTTATCATAGTCTTGCATTCAAAAAATGCTCCAAAAATCTAACCTTTGATTAAAGTTAATAGTTTTAAAAGAAAAGGAAAAAGCGATACTTTTTTCTGAAATAATTATTCCTCAGTTATTGACACCCTTTCATTTAATATTTTTTTGCAGCCTCACTTTGCCAAGATAACAGCTCTTGATCTTTTCATATAATATGTAAGGTTAAAAAACACGGCAAGAGATCTGAGGCCATTTCTCCATACTGAGTCTCATCTTTCAGATTCAGAGGTCCCTGTGGGCTCTATTTCAGCTCATTACACAGGGTTTTGTTTATGGGGTTTGGATCAGGGCACTGATATGTCCATGGGGCAAAACCTTCATTCTGTGGGCACTCAGTGAACTGTTCAGTTGTTAATATTGAGATGTGCTTTGGATCAGTGTCAAGCTGGAAGTTCCAACGATGGTCTAGTTTAAGTTTCCTGACAGGGTCAGTCAGGTATGATTTAATATCTGCTGGTCCTTGATGGAGAATATGATAGGCCTAACTGTGTATCAACAAGTTGTCCAGGGTCTTTGGAATAAAATTAGCAATGCATTAAAGATTCACCTTCACTGTGGGGAAGTGCTTTTCTACATGTCTATGTTTCTGTCTATGACAAACCCACATTTAGTGATTGGCTAAAAAGCTTTATTTTGGTCTCACCTGACCCTAAAACCCAGTCCCACAAAAGGTCCAGTCATTTTTGCTAATATTCAAATGTAACGATATTTGTGAAGCTGGAGCCCACGTATTTCCTCATTATTTATTATGAGAAAAGGGGAATTGATTTTAAACTCCAAGCCAGCAGGTGGCGGTAAACATGTAGCACTTGTATCATATGACATCCTAACCTCAAAAAAAAAAAAAAAAAACAGGAAATAGACAAGTAACTGCGTATTACTGCGACCGAAAACTGCAAAACAAAACCCTCGTCCTCTGCTGTTGTTATTCTTCCACACAAATAGACATCAATAACCCGAGGATTAAGGCTTTTATAAGCCTTGGAATTCTCCTCAAGTTCTGATTCAATAGCTGGGATGCATAATTTCCCTCTAAATTTTAGCTTGTTTAATGGCAGGTATTGGAAATTTCACAGTAAAAAGGAAGAGATATTTATTAGACATAGAAATCCATTAAGCAACAGGCGAAGATTATTTACGCGGTCGTAAGTATCTGCAAGGGAGGTTTGTTTTGTTGTTGTTTTTTTACATTTGAAGGTAACGTTAATAGAGCGCTGTTTTTTCTCGAAATTGAGACATTTATTATATATGTGCTTCTATAGGGGGCATCGAAGTAGAGATTATTCGATTTTAACCCAATATTGGCTTCTTATTAATAATATTCGGTTTGTACCAATCTCCAAACTAACGTGCTAATCGTTGTTTAGGTTTGGCGTAACGGCAGAATAAGTGGTCGATGGTTGTTTATCAAAGGACATCTAGTGTTAGTAAAGAGTTGTTGCAGTTCTGTCAAAATATATTATAGTTAAATAAACCATGAAGCTCCTGGAAAACTCAAGTTTTGAGGCTATGAACAGTTTGCTCACTATTGAAACGGGAGACTGCAAGATAATTGGACGGTAAGTGCAATACTAGCTTTTATAAGATAAAACTAAGAAAAGTGGCATTCTTTTGAAAAACATTTGTAACAATGTCAGATCACGAAGAGGAACTGAGTATATTAACTCTGTTCTGGACGATAGCACACGAGAGACGTATATTTGATGTGTGTGTTTACATCTGCTAGTAGACTATTGTTTAGAATGTTTGATCATCTCTATTGTACGTTCCCTGTCAGATGTCAAATAGACATATAGAAAATGTCTTTAAGAGGTTTATTATTTAGAATGTAGGCTTATGTAGAACTGACATCTTAAAGACGTCTATCAGATGTTAGTAGTAAACAGCAGATGCTTTCCAGATGAAGTGATCTTTATAAGACATCTGGCAGACGTACGTGTGCTATCTGTTATTTGCAGTATAGTTTTGTGGGTGTAACTCAAGTCACTCTCTGTCACTGTTGTGATGTGTTTCTAGTATTGAGAGCTACTCCTGTAAGATGGCTGGTGACGACAAGCAGATGTTTAAGCAGTTTTGTCAGGAGGGGCAGCCGCACGTGCTGGAGGCTCTGTCTCCTCCGCAGAGCTCCGGAATCAGCCCCAACAAGTAAGTCCAAGTCTTTTCCAGAGGTATCGATAATCTTTTCATAGTCATCAAAGCCTCCTCTCTTGCACACTGTAAAAATATCTTCCAGAAGGTCATTGTGTGTTGATCAAAATATGTTGTGCTTTCAGATTTAGTCAGAGTTTGGAAGATGGGGAGGGTCCTCTCTCGGATAAGTGCAGCAGAAAGACTCTCTTTTACTTGATCGCCACTCTCAATGAATCCTTCCGGCCAGACTATGACTTCAGTCGCACCAAAGGCCATGATTTCAGCAAGGAGCCCAGTGTTAATTGGGTAATTTTGACATGATCTAAAATGTAATTTAAAACGGACTATTAATAATAATAGTAAAACTTGTGACCCTACAAAGATGGGGCTGATATATATGTACACTCACCTAAAGGATTATTAGGAACACCATACTAATACTGTGTTTGATGCCCTTTCACCTTCAAAACTGCCTTAATTCTACGTGGCATTGATTCAACAAGGTGCTGAAAGCATTCTTTAGAAATGTTGGCCCATATTTATAGGATGGCATCTTGCAGTTGATTGAGATTTGTGGGATGCATTGTCATATTCAAGAAACCAATTTGAAATGATTCGAGCTTTGTGACATGGTGCATTATCCTGCTGGATGTAGCCATCAGAGTATGGGTACATGGTGGCTTTAAAGATTAGATAATTCCATTAATGAGAAATTGAAAAGGTGTTCCTAATAATCCTTTAGGTGATTGTACATGTATATGTATATGTATGTGTATGTAATATGCATATATGTATATATATATCAATCAATTAAAATCAGTCTCGTTCACCTGAATGTGGAGGAGAGACGTGTTTAATACGATAAAAGCGTTCGTTAAATGGTTAATTTTGCGCAGGTGTTTAATGCAGTGAACAGCAGTTTGTCTGCTGCTGCGGGTGAGGTGTACAGTCACCTACAGCCTCAGTTATGGGAAGCGCTTGACAAGGAGATCAGCCTTGCTGAATGTGACATATACAGGTAGATAATGCTTCAACTTGATGATTGCTTTTGACATTTTCAGTGGTGTTTGTTTGAATAATACATCATTCAGTTGTGATGCATGTTCATTCAAGTTCTGATTGGATTCTGTGACAGTTACAATCCTGACCTGGATTCAGACCCATATGGAGAAGAAGGCAACCTGTGGTCCTTCAACTACTTCTTTTATAACAAAAGACTGAAGAGGATTGTGTTCTTCACATGCCGTTCTGTCAGGTGAGGGTCTGTATGTCAGAAATAAAGCAATTCATCATTAATGCATAAAAAAAAGTATCAGATTTTTTTTTGTGTGTGAAGAAATTAATACTTTTATTCAGCAAGGACACATTAAATTGACAGTAAAACATTTATAATGTTACAAAAATCCTTTTTCAAAAAACTGGTTACACTTTACTTGAAGGGGTGTGCATAAGACTGACATGACACTTTCATAATCATGACTTGACGCGTCATAAATTTGAAGGTTTTATGCATGTTTATGACAACTGTCATTAAGTGTCAGTAAATACATCAAAATGTATTTTCGATGCTTCAAAATGCTCTAACTAAGCCACTTGTGTCACATGGACTACTATGAGGATGTCTTTATTTCCTTTCTGGACAAGGACAGTTTACTGCTCTCAGACTAAATCTAAAATATCTTAAACTGTGTTCCGAAGATGAACGGAGGTCTTACGGGCTTGGGACGTCATGAGGGAGAGTCATTAATGACATAATTTTCATTTTTGGGTGAACTATCCCTTTAAAAATGTCAGAATTGAGTGAATGACACTTGAGGACATTGTCATGAACATGAATAAAACCACCTTGATATTTATGACATGTTTTATGTGTCATGTACGTATTTTATTAAATATCTTATGAATCTCGGGCTCAGCAAGTCCAACCTGAAAACATTTCAATGACCTTTGACTTCTGTGTATTTGTCCTTTAGTCTTTTCATGGCTCCTCGAGACTCTGGCATCAGCACAGAATTGGATCTGGAATTGGATGAGGGCAGCTATGAGGAAGAGGAAGAGGGGAACATGGATGAAGAGAGGTGAGGAACATTATTATTTGTTATCACTTCTCCAGGAAGTACTGCATCATGAACATCCACACTCTTGCTTTATCATCATTAAGATTTGACTTCCAAATGACTGCTAATAAACCAACGTGGTTTCAGCGTATTTGCTAGTGAAGGGTTAAAAGCCAAAATTACATTGCAGTGTATCTAAAAACCAGCCTTTCATTTCATCAGTGATGGATTGATTGATCTGTCCTCAGGAATGGTGCACTGTGTGCCTGGTGAAGCCCTCATTTCTGTCCTCTGAAGACGCAATCTCTTGCCTGAGTTTTCATGCCTGTCATTCTTTTCTGTTTTTTATGTGTTCAATTTTATATTGTTGGTCATTTCTTAGGAATGAGGAGAGGTTGTAATCCAGAGATTTTCAAGTGCTGGTTATTGCACTTTAACATTTTCCGTTACTTCATTGCATTCACTAGACTTACTTCTAACACCGCCCTTTGAGGGAACCAGTGTGATGTGTGTTAGCATATTTTTACTCTCTTGCTTTTTTAAAATCTCAAATGAGGTCCTTTTTATTTGTCTCTGAGTGTAAGTTGAATTTTGCAAGTTTTATTCTCCCTCACTTTCCCTCTCAACCCTGTTCAATATTTTCAGTAGTTTTTATGTCTCCATAAATGTCACAGTATTTCCACTAGGTGGCATATTTCAACATCTCATCATCTTTGCTTCCTGCCTCTAGTTACTCTTTTTGAGCATAGTTCAGATTTAATTTTTTAAATCCAGTTGTGGACATGTGCTCATAACTCAAAATTTTCCTAGTTTTCACTTTCTTTTTATAAATGATAAAATAACTAAATATTTGTGTTTGTTTTTAACCCTTAATACATTTTCTTCAACTTTTTTTTTTTTAAAACATTGCCCAGTAGATTTATTAATGTTGACCTACGGATCAACTTCCCTTTTTAGTTTCGCCCCCAAAGCTATTAAAAACGTGAAAGAAAAACAATGATGGGTCTGTAAAGTTTAATTTTCATAAAGCTTTTTATTTGTCGTTACTGGTTTTTATTTGGATTTCGCAACTTTTGTGAGGTGTAGAACGTGAAGTGAACATAGCAGTTCCACTTTCTTCTGTGAAGACCTGCTTGTGGTGATTGAATTTACGTTGTCTGACAACGCATTTGACTATAAAGGCAAAAATTCTGTGTTTATAGCTGTTGTGGAAAGATATTATGGTAGATATTATGACCTATAAGACTGGGTGTTAGTGAACTATATTGCATCCCGTTTGACATCGTACAGCTTGATCGGTTTCATCTACTGTGGCTTGAATACTTCCTCATGATGAGCTCTGTAGTTTGTATTGTCCTGTCCACTGTTATGTTGGAGGGCTTCTTGAATATCTGGCCATATGTGGTGAAATCACAATCTTTCTGAATTCCTTTTCCATTTTAGATTTGACTGTGACCCATCCATGTTTGTAATTTCAAGCACTTTGATATATTATAAAGTTGAGCCAGTATAAGAACAGAGATGCAAGATCATCTTTTGTTGTTAATTGCATACATTATTTCTACAAATTGTTTTAGAGTATAGTCCTACAAAAGTACCAGGATGCATTAACATGTCCTTCTTGGCAGCTTAAAACATTTGTATAAATTTCTTTTTAAAGAGCATTTGTGTTATTTCCTAAATGCTGTGTCAAATAAATATCTACTGACTTAATGTGCACCGATTGGGATTTTTATTGGGGAAAAAAAACCTTGCTGGGCGCCAAAAGTACTGCTGTACAGTTCTAGGCTGAATGTCAACATGATTATTTTAGCATCATTAATCAGACCACATCTAGTAATGAATCCTTGAACAGCAGCAAAGCAATACAGTATCATTTTTCATTTTATTTGTACTGGCAACAACACAATACTTGTTTGTGGGTACGTCACCCCTTGAAACAACAACAACACATGTAGTGTCCAATTCTCGCTAGTGACAAAAACATATCTACAAAATGACAAGTACTTTACCAAGAAAAAAAAAAAAGGGTCAAAGCATTGCATGCAGGCATCACAAACGATAACGTATGTAAAGCCTTTGTTTAGCTCGACAGGCACACCTCTAAACCATTATATGGACGTTTCCTGTGGCGCGTGACGTGCCCCACTTCCCTTCAGGGTCAAACCTGCTCTACAGCACAAATACATAGTTTAACAGACATTTACAAAAGAGAATCGCAGAAAACACAGAACCCTTTTGAATTCTTCACATGAAAACGAAACATGAGCACTTGTGCTAACCCGTTGCAGATACATGCGCTCAGAGGGAACTCAAATCTTTGGTACTTCAACAAAGTCCAAATCTAACAACAACAGCTGTTTTACTGGAAAAAAAGGCACTTTAAATAGTCAAATCTATGTTTTCCACTGCAAAAATATGTAAACAGTACATAAAGGCACGAAGTGTGCATCAAGTATACCAGGAATTAAGTTAGAGGTACTTTAATTTACACAACATGGTTGTACAATGGGAAATCCATGCGCTGATTAGACAATACTGATGTTAAAATTGTGTGCACGAGCCTCGCGATTTTCTGTGCTGTGAAGAACGTCTGCTAGGAAAGAGTTTTTAGCAGCAGCACTTTGCACTGTGTGTGTCATTTTCTTGAAGAGATCACCACAAATGTATTTTTTCAGAGGTAAGAAACAGTCACTTCTGTTTGTAAAGACTACGAGGTCAGTCTCTGGCCTGTCCCGAACACCTCAGCAGTTTCTCACTGCTGTAAACCACAGTTTATGGAATCTGTTCCATTCGATGCCCTTGAGCTCTGCATACCTTATGAGGTAAAATCTCTCTCTTCATAGAGTCCACTACCCCTGATTGTGGGTAAACAGAATGAAGAATGCTCATTAATGGTCTCCAGTCTCATTCGGTTCAAAATCGGGGACCACCTGATCCGTCGAGTGTCTGGTGCTGGAGTGCTGGCTGAGGGATACATTGTTGTTACAGTGGAGCCACGGGTGGAGAAGAATATCTCCAGCCTCAAGCCTCTCTGAGGGAGATTTCCTCAGCATGCAGTACACCAGTGACTTAGCCCTGGGGGAAAGAGTCTCCGGGATGGTAAACGCACCCCTGCGAATTTTGCTGAACAGTGCTGTGGGTTCCACGTCCTGAAAAGGGTAACGTCCTACTAGCATGGTGTAGAGAACAACGCCAAGGCTCCATACGTCGGCAGCCTTCCCTGAGTACGAGTGCCGTGAGTTTAAGATCTCTGGGCCCACGTAGGCTGGGCAGCCATGTTTGTCCGTCAGTGAATCATCGTTCCCGTTAAGAAGACAGGAGTCCTCCAGGTTTTGCAAGACAAGCTTTGTTCTGAGGAAACAAAAAACATCCATCAGTCACCTGATAACTAAATCCTCAATTAATGAATGGAAAATATTTGACAGATGAGCAAGATAAGGTAAAACCTATGGATATATATATATTTTAATTCAGTTATACATTGTAACAAATGTATTACACATTTTATAATTATTTTACTTTATTTTTTTAATAGTAAAAAAAATATTTACATCTTTTTATATCTGAATACTATATATTTGAAATTTAACAACAAAAATAATCTTATAACACCTGTACACTGACAATAAAAAGTAAGAATGCACTGATATTAAGTGGATTATTTTCATGCCATGACTGATAAAAAAAAAACTAATATAAAAGGTCTATAAAATGTTCAAATAAATTTCAAATTAAATAAAACATTTGAAAAACTACTATTGAATTTATGAATTATATTGTAATGTATGTACTTTTAATTTTGAGATTTGCTAGATTTGCTAGAGATTTGCCATTTATTCAATGAATTATTAGTAGGCTACTTATAAAATTTAGTTGGTGTCAGATGACAACAAAAGGTAATAAAAAAGTGAAAATGAGTACTAATTCATTATTGGCCAGTTTAGATTGAATAATGTCAGGGGGGAAAAAATAATATTTACTTTTAGTCATGGAATATCATGCATCCCTACTATCAAGAGCTGATATGATTTGACTAACTAGCAATAAAAAATTGAAATTGAGTTACTGACCTCTGTGGATCGGTGAACACAAACTTGCGCAGTTTAAGGTCTCTTAAAATGACGCCATTCTCGTGACAGTGCGCCACTGCGGCTGCCATCTGTACGAACAGGCGCACTGCCTCATCCTCCTGCAGCCTCTTACAGGTGCGCACGTATGAGTGCATGTCTCCATAGTTACGCTCGAAGAAAATGTACACGTTGTTCTCCCCGAGCACCAGCTCTGAAATCTTGCAGATGTTGCTGTGTGGAAGCAGACGAGTGTATGGTGCGATGAACTCGTGATACTTCTTTATGGAAAACACCTGGTGGGAACATACCAAAACTAAATGATTATTGATCCTTCATTATATAAAAGTTCCAGAACTTATATTAATATGAAATATATTAAATCCACTATAATGAAGAATCTATATGCTCACTTTGCATGTGTACTCCTGTTCTGTGACCTGATGAACAGCTCTAAATGTCTGCGCTCCTTCTATGGCCTCCAGCAGGATGTAGGGTCCGATGCGCGAGACGTGGTGCTTCTCGGACCCCGGCTGCTCAAGGCTCTGGGACAGGGGGCGAAGACAGGGCGCGAGACCCGGGGAAGGAGGCTGGCTGAGCCTGCGGCGCTTGCATTTGAAGGTGTCAGTGTTGTGAGAGTCCTCAAAGTCAACTCGCTTCAGTCGCAGTGGAGGTGTAGGAGTTGACAGGTTCATACTCATCTGTGACAAAAACAACTGGATGTAAGTTCATGACCTTGTGACAGCATTACTTAACATACCATACATGCTGATGATTGGATGAAGAATGCAGAGTCAATGCCTCATGGTGACATGAAAAAATTTGTACATTTGATTATTGCACCACACTTGAACACTCGGTAGCCTGGGATAATAACTCTCACTAACAAACTAAACAAGAATGGGTGGTTCAATAATGTTGTGTAATGAAAGGAGGTAATTAATAACTATTGAATGACTGTGTGATGAGCAGTGTTGCTTGATCATACTGACTCAAGTTCCTTTCGAAATTCTGTTTGGCGCCTGTGAGTCATACAAGTGTTTAAGTTATTACACATTCAAGCGTACGTCATAGAATGACGTATCCCAGTTTCTTCCACTGCACTATTTTTAAACTAACTTTTCTATTCAAATAGCCTATTAGTAGAATTTTCTCGTCATAAATGATAAGATTAGCCTTATCATAAGCCGGTACGAGGTTTCAGAACTCGATTCAGAACCTAAATCTCCTGATTAAGCAGTTCTCACTCTCAGTATGCGCGAACCATTGCGCCACAACTCGCTGTCCAGAAAAATAGCCTACAAAATATTACTTACAGAATATGCTCAGTAGGCTAAATTGAATGCTTAGTGCAAGTTGACAGAGTTCACACCACAATATGCGCAGCCTGCAACATGTAAAGTTTAACCACCAATATGTTTCTCAATACTCGTTTAAATGGTTAAGTATATCAATAATTGACATTAATCGTAAGGAACCTTGGTTGGAAAGTATGAAGTAGTGATTTGTAGAAGTTAAGGTGACGCTTGAAGTCTGACTTACCTCGCTGCTTTAGACAAAGGACCCGCTCCTCTCCAAAACAGAACAATGAAAACTAGGCGCACTTAGTTGTGTCTAATTGTCAGAGAACATTTCCACGGGGGAAAACATAAAAAATAATAAAATGAACACTGGGAAATTGTCTCAACTGTAGTTAAGTCTCGGCATAAAAGAGACAAAGTTGTCTCCAGTGAATACAGTAAATATGAGTTGGTTTAAAAGGACGCGCGCGTGCCTTAACGTTATACAGAAGTTGATTTGAAAAGAGTCTCCGGTTTCGATGTGTTTTGCAGATATTCGTGCATTTATCCTCTTTTCATTCGTAATCTTTCTTCTTTGTCCTTGAAGTTGAGCAAATTGATACTTGGGAGTCTGGCGGCAACACCAAGAGCCCTTCAGTTGTTGGCACGAATGTCTTTGTTCCTTATTCCCGCTGAATGAACGCGTCCTGAATGGACAATATTTCCTTGGATGTAAGTTTTCACTAAAAGTCCTTTGGTCGGATGAAGTTTAAGATAATTTACGACGAGTTCCGGACAAATAAAACTTGATAAGCCGCAGTTAAACGTACTTTTCTGGAAGTTTTGCGATACGACAAACAAGGAATTGCCCAAAGAAAGTTGAACTAGAGAACACGTCCGAGTCGGTGACAGTGTAGAAATGGAATAATTAGTCCTTTAGTTCCTATTTTGTTGCTGCAGAAATAAAGGTCCCTTTAATAATGAGATCACAAATCAGACGTGGCCCCTCAGCCTGACCGTCCGACTGTAAAGTCTCAATTTGGCTGGGCACGTCTAATATGCTCGATGTGTTACACCAGCCTGACTCGATGATGCTGTTCTTAGTAAGATTGCGACATATTGGCTCCGCCCATCGGGTCTGACGACATCTAGTACAGGGCTTCGCAATAGTACGCACTATTGTTGAAGTTAAAGTTTGCTAGGGCTGGGTTGCAAACACAACGCGTGGCATTTCATGGAAATGGTTAGTCAGTCAGTTTTACACTGTAAACACACCTCTGATTTGACCATAATATCTCAACAGTGTCTTAAAGCAGTGAGTATTTTTGTGCACATTGTAGTCTGCTATCGATAGAAATTACAACGGTGAGGGAAAATATACACAGAAATGTGATAGCCTAGGTCGTGTAAATATACATGAAATCCAGCGAAAGCAGTGCTATATACCTTAAGCCTGTCCTTTTTACTGAATGCCCCACCCCTGCTGTGTATGACTCAATACCAATGTTGGTGTTGCACATCAAGTGTTTGTCAGGGTGACATGCAGCCAGGTGTAAGATACAGAGCAAAATAGGCTACTAAATAGGAACCCAGCAAATATTTTTTCTCCTACACATCAGTAATGGAGAACAAATTAAGATTTACATTTTTATTTTATATCAAGTCTCAGAGATGTCTCAAACAGATTTGCAGAATGCAGATACGAAAAGTCAGACATTTCAATATGAACTTAAACATTTTTCATAATTGTTACACTGTAAAAATATATTTTCATGATTTATCACAACTTTTTATCTTTCGTCAAATCAACTTCGATAATTAATGTGGTTCGGATAACAATATTTTGAGTTTCGATTTATTAAA